ACCTACTTTTTCTATTTTCCAAGGTTTCTAAGTATATAAACTATATAAATAGAATACTATCTACATATATTATATAAATATATATTTTTATATACATACTATTTATTTACAGAATACCTATTATTATCTACTACTTTTTAAAATTTTTAATACTACAATTTTATATTATTATATCTTTTAACTATATACTTTTACTTATAAAGTTTATATAATTAACTAAAAAGTCCTTATATTTAAATATAAAATAATTATAAAGTTTTTAATTCAAACTTATTTAATAATATTTTATAAACTTACTTTCAAATTCTTTAATAAATTTTTTCATATAAAACTATATAAAGCTTTAAGAAAAACTTAGTTTCAAACTTAAGAAGTCTATATATAAACTAAGAAATCCTTATAAATTAAAAACTATTTGTTATTAACAATTTCACTTCTAACTTCTATTATCCTTAACTTATTTCTTAAATCACTTTCTTTAAATTTAGCAAAAACAACTTTATTTTTAAATTCTATAGTTCTCAATTTATTCACTATCCAAGGGCAAGGACAGCATCAAGGCTCGATGCCAGATAGTAGAGATTGCTTAAGTATAAACAGAAAAAGCCCTTAGATGCTCAATGTCAGTGACCTTCTGACCCTCAATGCTTTCCGCTACAGTGGATACTTTCGCCTAAAATTTTCAGAAGTTTTATTCCTATACCTAAATTATGTATGGTTTGAATTTAAAAGTAATCAAACCAGTAGAAAGATCATACAGTATAACTAAAATTGATCAAAAACCCTCAAAGAGTTTTGTTAAGATACAACCGGAAGGCCTACTTTTTTCATTTTCTAAGGTTTCTGAATATACAAACTACACAAACAAAGTATTATCTATATATATTGTACAAATATATATTTCCATATATATACTACTTATCCACAGAACGCCTACTATCATCTACCATCTTTTGAAATTCTTAATACTACAACTTTATACTACTATATTTCTTGACTATACAACTTTATTCGTAAAGCTTATACAATTAACTAGAAAGTCTTTGTAAATATAAAATAATTGTAAAGTTTTTGATTTAGACCTATTTGATAATCTTCCATAAACTTACTTTTAAATTCTTCAACAAATCTTTTCGCATAAAACTATATAAAGCTTTAAAGAAGATTTAGTCTTAGACTTAAGAAGTCTATATACAAACTAAAAAGTCCTTATAAATTAAAAACTATCTATCATTAATAGTTTTATTTCTGACTTCTATTATTCTTAACTTATTTTCTAAATCACTTTCTTTAGATTCAATAAAAACAACTTTACTTCTAAGTTCTATAGTTTCTAACTTATTTATTAAGTTAATACTTTTTTTAAAATTCAAGATATTAGACTTTGTAAATCTAATAAAAATATAAAGTCTCTATCTGAATACAGTTGCTCTCTATACTTTAACAGAAGTACAAAGTTTATTTAAATATAACTACTTTCTATAATTCAACGAAAATATAAAATCTACTTTTATATATAGCTTGTTCTTATAATTTAATAAAAGTATAAAATCTATATCTGAATATAGAGATAAACTATATAATCTTTCAAATTAGAGAATAGAAAATTTCTCTTACTATATTAAGATATCAACTATCTTAACTTTTATTTCTTTTTTCAAAATATTTTATTTATTTTTATTACTTACTATAATTATAATTAATCTAAAATCTAATAGAAAATATTTTATCTATAATATTATTATACAAACTAAAAAATCTTTATAAAAAAAAAGAGTATTAATTATTATTAATAATTTCATTTTAGTATTAAAATATTTAATATTCTAATTTAAATCTCTTTTCTTAGGATATTTCTATTTATTTCTATTACTTATATTAATTATAGTTAGTATAGAATCTAATAGAAAATCTACTATTTAGAAACTTTATATACAAATTAAAAAATCTTTAAAATTAAAAACTACTGTTATCAATAGTTTTGCTTTTATAATATAAAGTTTTTATATAATTATAGACTTAAAAAGTCTTTGTATAATTATAAACTTAAGTAGTCTATATATAGTTATAGATTTGGAAAGTCTTTGTATAGTTGCAAATCTAAATAGTCTATATATAGTTATAGACTAAGAAAGTTTTTATATAATTATATATCTGAAAAGTCTATTTACAATTATAGATCTAGATAGTTTTTATATAGTTGTAGATTTAGGATTTTTATATAATTATATATATAGATAGTCTTTCTATAATTATAGATTTAAATAATCTTTATATAGTTATAAATTTATAAAGTTTTTATATAATTCTAATCTTAGAATAAAATAGACAGAATAGTATCCTACAAAATATAGTATTTTATATAGACTTAAATATCTATATAGATAATAATCTATTATCCTCAATTTCCTTATATAAATTAGAAAGTCTTTCTATAGTTATAGATTTAGATAGTTTATATATAGTTATAAACTTAAAAAGTTTTTATATAATTTTAGATTTAGAAAGTTATTATATAATTATAGACTTAAATATTCTATATATAATTATAAACTTAAAAAGTCTTTGTATAGTTCTAGACTTAGGAAATTACTAATAATTATAGATTTGGATAGTTATCTAATAGTTGTAAACTAAGATAGTCTTTATAAGATTGTAGACTTAAAAAAATATTATATAATTGCAGATTTAGAAAGTCTTTATATAATTTTAGACTTAAAAAATTATTAATAGTTATAGAAGTGAAAAGTTACTAAATAGTTATAAATTAAAGTAATTTATATATAATTATAAACTAAAAAGTCTTTGTATAATAATAGATTTAAAAAGTCTTTGTATAATTATAGATTTAGAAAGCTTTAGTAAGTAAAAAAATATCTTTAATAGTTTTTTTATATAAACTAAGAAGTAACTAATAAACAAATAAAAAATAAATATAAAACTTAGATTATTTTTATTAGATACTATTAATCTTTATATTAATTAAAAAGTAAATAAGAAATAAATAAAAATAAATGTAAAATCAAGATTTTAGATTATATTAAATAAAAAGTAACTACAAAATAAATAAAAGTAAATATAATATTAAAATTACTATCTTTAAGTACTATAGATTTTTATAAACTAACACATTTATTTAGAATTTTAATTAAGAGATTCCATATAATTATTTCTTTTTGTTTAATTTAGAAATAATTTATAAGTTGAACTAAAGTATAAATTTCTACTACTCAGTATATAATTAGAAGATTTAAATTATAAAACTTTATATAGTAGGATTATAGTAGAGATTCGAAAAATATAGATTATCATTGTTTAATATATAGTTTAGAAATTAGAATTCAAAGATTTTGTATTATAGTATCAAAATAGAAGCTTAAAGAGATGCTAATTGTACTACCAATATAGTAATTAGAATCAAGAGGTTTTATATTATAATATCAAGATAAAGGATTAATAGTATAGGTTCTTATTATCTAATATTACAATAAGAATTTAATGTTAGCTATTCTTATTTTTGAATTAATACTATTATACTTAGCAGTCAGCCTATTCATCAAATATATCAATAGGACAGCAAATATTAGTATCTAAATATCTAATTATTAGAGTCGATCTGCTGCCAGCTAGTATATCTATTAGATATATAAGCTGTAAGACTTGATTGCGTTCTCAAAAAAGACTGAAATAAGAGATCCTAAATATCTACTATTAAATTTTTAGATACCTAACCTCTTAACTAGACTTTGAAACTATAGTAGTCTATATATTCATTATATATATAAATAGATAAACTTTATATTATTATACTATAAAATAGAATTATTATAGTTGAATTTTATTTCTAGTTCTAATCTATAAATCTAATACTATTAATAGTTACCTACAGTATCTATTAAATACATTAACAGAAAGGCTTTATATAATAGTATATATCTATAAAGTAATTCTTATATTCAGCTTTTTGATTATAATATTAGATTAAAAAAACTCATACTAGCTAAGATTCGTCTTTCATCTCATCTATTTTTGCTATTCAAATTAATACGTTTAAACTTTAATAATCTTTTTATATAACTTTAAAAGACTTTATATCAAATACCTAGAATCTATTCTTAATCAAAAACTTCTTCTCTTATTCAAAAACATAATATTCTACACTATATAATATTTAATTTAATTATAATCCTATTATTCGAATACTATCTTCAATTATTTATTATTATTACCATACCTCCGAAAATATAAAATTCTATCAAAGAAAGAAGTTCTATCAAAAAATAAAGAAAAGGCAGAGATACTATAAAGAATAAAGATTCTAAAGCTACTATAAATATCAAAATATCTAAAAACACCAAGACCATTCAAATTATATCTACTCTTATTATAATTACTAAATAAACTCTTTAGAATACTATTATATAGTTTGTTAAAACTATAGTTATATATTGGATATTGTATGATCCTATTCTATAGAAACCTTAATTCTACAATCTCTTTATAAAGCTTAGAACACCTTTTACTTCACATAAGAATGACACGGTGAATGGAAGGCCAGAAATGGCCGCCTCGGAGGCCGTTTTAAGCCTTCCACTCACCGTCGCCGGGCTTGGCATCACGTGCATCTACGCCCACGGCCGACTCTCTCTACTGCCACATATGCTTTCCGTTGGCTGTGCCTGGTGCCTGGGCCCGACCGAGACCACTTGCGCTATAGCAACCGCCGCCGCGCCCCACCCTCAGCCATCCTCCTGAAGGAGAGGAACCGAAGATGGCTCCCCTCCTTGGTTCCCTTCTTTCCTCGGGTTTTATAAATATCGACTGCCATGGCCCCGACACAATGTTCTTTCTTGCTACCAAACAAGTCTTCCACTCTCAGGTCGGTCTCTTCAACGTCACGGCACTCAAGTGTGAAGAGAGAACCAGTTTCTACCATTACTTGTTCCTTGACTTGCCGTCGTTCCTTGTGCCTTCTTTGATCGCACCCACCTCCTCCTGCCATGCCATCTCATGGTTCTGTTCCGTCCCACGAGAGCGATACTAGCCCAGGCCATTCTGAGGTTTATTCGGACCACGCTTCCGACACTGATTCCTCCACCGAGCCCAGCGTCTTCGACTCAAGCAGCGAGTGTGAAGATGAGCCCGAAGATAAGCTGGTTTCGGAAGATGAAGAGGAGCAACTTCCACCAGAATACTACCTCCACGAAGCCGAGTCTCTTGATGTCTCCCAGCTTCGACAGAAACGCTACAGCCCGAATACCCAAAGGCATTTAGATGATACGCAATATTTCTGGGACCAGTGAGACTTAACTACATCCCTCTACCTTGCTTGGTTCGCTGATTGTTCTAGGTTCTGCAAAGGCACGAAGCGCGATCCGGTGGAATGTTTGTTCTGGCTGTCTGATACCGAGGAGACAGTCCGCTTCCTCAAGGCTCTCTTCTCCTGGCGATGTGACCAAAGACGGGGAAAGGATGGACGTCACACCGCGGGAGTGAATACCAAAAGCACGCTCGACGCATTTTGGAAGTGGTGGCATCTGATCTACAAGGCCGAGGTTGGTCATGGCGTCAGCAAAGATGTCCATGTTAAGATCCGTGACGTGAGATCCTGATTGAATATCTATATCGATATAAAATTGATCGGGCTGACTTTCAACAGGTGCTTGCGATAGTTGCGACAGAAAACAGCCTTTCTCTGAAAGGTCGACCAAAAGTGACTATGTATGTCGAAGATGTGGCCGAGTTTGCACGAGTGGTTCTATCTACAACAGAGATGACCTTCCCTTGTGGCTGGTACCGGATTCAACTCCTTTTTTTCTGCCAGCTAGCTGCTATCACCGGTAACCGTCCGGGGGCACTATTGAAACTTCGCTTCCAGGACCTCAAGTTGACATTAGTTCGAGATCCAAATGGTGGACGACCCCGACTGTTCATTTATTTGAGGCCGGAATTCACAAAAACATTTCTTGGCGGGAAAGAGTCGTAAGAATGTCCCCTGTCTTTTGCTTCCTTCCCTCCCCATGCAATTCACACCTGATTTCCCTGCGCAGCTCTGTATGCCGAAGTTCTTCCGCCAACGTACCCAGTCAAAGCTTGCTTACCATTTTGGAATAGGAATACATTCCCAATTCCGGAAATCATCTTTGATCCAACCCTGGTTCTCAGTCCTCATGTTTTTCTGCTGGGCATGCTCTTCAGGATTGGTGCATTCAAAAGTCTGTCCAAAGACGGCCCTGTGATGGATTGCCCTGAGAAATTGTACCGTCTCCGGGTCCTCCATGGACTTGGTGAGCAGGAACTAAAGCTAAAAGACGAGATTCTCGATCAAAACGTATTTTGCCAAGCACTACGGGAGCCTGGTGGGATTCGAATTGCTCCAGAAGAAAAACTTACCAAGGGATAGCTAAGTTACCGAATGAAACGAGGTGGTGAGATTACAGGTTTCGCGGAAGTCGCGAAGCCCTACTGCCTCCGATATGGCGCAGCAAAAGCGTTCAACGATAGCCGTGAGTGAGACATTGTGCACGATACGATCCCAGGCTAATGCTTCCCTTCAATCAGCGGATGTGTCCAATGAACTACAGAACGTGATGCTGCAGCATGCCAGTATCGATACTTTTGTTCGGCACTACAGCGTGGGTATTCATGTAGATGCCCAGGCAATTGTACGGGGCCTGCCCGCTCAGAAGCAGCTCATGCGGTTTGCCTCCTCGATGAGTCGGTCTATTGATCCCCGCAGACCCTATCGACTAGAGGATTCGAGCTGTATCAATGAAATTCCCCGTGTTCGCACTCTGGAAGAGAGGAAACAGGTGCGGAAACAAGTTCGAGATGCTAAGAAGCGCACCTTTGAAAATGCCCAGGCTGCATTACAGCGGGAGTTTGGTGATAAACTTTCACAAGAAAACTTCCCTCATTCCCGAATGATCCGCAAGCGGCGGAAAGCTCAAGAGAAGAGAGTGGAAAAGCTACAGCAAAAACTTGATCATGCAGATGAGCAGTATAATCGCTCAGTTAAGCAACTACGGAACGAGAAAGGGCGGCAGCGGAACCGCTTGATTCGTGAGAATCTGGAGCGTTACAAGAACGAACAGCCAGTGGTCGACAGCGAACGACAACTTTCCGGAAAGGTTGTTGACGAAGAAGTATTGGTTGCGCTGGAGCGAACAGGCTACATGACACCGCAACATATGACACTTATCGACACTGTTCTGACTATGCCGGGTACGACCATCGAGAAAGAATATGAGCGTCGTATTGCTGCAATCAATGCAGTGATTGCGGTTTGTGATGCAGAAGAGAGTGCCCCCTTGCGGTCTCGTGTCACCCAAAAACGCTCCGCCGATGCTGTCGATATTCTACCAGCTGCCCCCGTGCCTAAAAGGCAGAGTTCAACCCCTTCAGATAAGAGCGACGATACTTTTTCCAAGGCCATCGCTTCAGTTTGCGTCAAATCTCCAAATGAAAGACCAACGATTTGCTTTATTTGCCTTGGTACCCCTAGGCTGCCACAAAGCGAACGCTTAAGGATGTACAAGAACTCTGGATCTTTGAGCAGACATTTCGTCAGAAAGCATATCAAGCCATTTTCAAACGACATGCGCTGTGAGTGCTCTATCTGTGGAGAGAAGTTAGAGTCAAAATCTGCGCTACTGAACCATGCGGAAAGGGTGCATGGAACTGTCTCCCGCTCTTCTAAAATAGCCCTTGGTATGGCATGATTACGCAATAGTCTTTTCTCACTTTTTGCAGATGCTACCGGGCGAACATTTTAGGGTTATGGGTGCGATATTTGTTATGTCTATTGGGATCTATAGACTTATTTTGATTTTGGTAGGGCTGGCACTTGATTTGTAACAACCATGTTTGATTTTCGCTTCCATAAATTTGGTCAATTTTGAGTAGCAATATTGTTGGTGTAAGGCACGGAGTATCATCACATGTACCACTGTTCTCGTATGGCGGTCTTCGTTTCTTTGCTAGTTGTAGCCGTATTTAGCATAATACTTGCCTCACACCAGGCCGTGGCGGTTTGCTTGAAGCCTCAAAGTAGAGTTGGGCCACGTTTCTTTTTTGACCGACGGGGCCACCAGTGCATCAATATGCCCTTTATCTAATCATTTAGCATAAGTTTGCCGTCTGTTTCCGAATCCTCCAAGCAGTTGTGAATTACGAGTCCGAATCTTGAGACTGTAGCACGATCTCACAGCACGGGGCTAGATTGCAAGCGACGAATAAAACGGGCACTATTCGAACCAGTGATATACACTCCACGCCTTACGGATAATTTAATCTTGTTTAGAATCTACGGTCTATGTAATTGCGCCAGGCCCATCAATACCCTCCCGTTTTTTAGAGCTCTGTTGGTCGATATGACATGATTACTGTATGTAACGGCATAGTTCTTCCGGTATGGTGCAAATTACCATACAAAACATACAAAACATACAGCGATATTTGTCGGGTGACGAATAACCAATTGTGACAATACAGTGCGGGGAACTCACAGAATTTCCCCATCGGAGTTGACATCCGGTTCTGCCAGGGCTGAATCAACCCTGAGCCTGCCTGGAGCCCACCCTGAGCCTACCTGGAACCTACCTGGAGCCAACCTGGAGCCAACCTGGAGCCTACCCTGAGCCTACCTGGAGCCTACCTGGAGCCTACCTGGAGCCTACCTGGAGCCTACCTGGAGCCAACCCGGAGCCAACCCGGAGCCAATTCAGATCCGAAAAATAGACATCTCCGAAGTACTACTCTTAGTTGTGTTCGTGTCTTATTCAGAAGACAGAAGATCGCCAATACAAATTTCTATATTCTTTGCTTCTTATTGGATTTGTACAAGGATTACTACCTTTGCATGTTGTTCGTATTAAGTCTACATTCTCTTTCCGGTTTATTCCCGTAATTGAAATAGACTGCAGTCATAATATCTATTTGATTGCGACAAAACCCTGTGAGCTACCAGGAACAGAACGCTTGACGCGAAAAGTACGCCGTACGTAATGATCAAGGTATCTTGGCACACACTCCTATACTAGTGGAAAGTCAAAGCCCCATTCCAGTATCATAGCTTCTTGGTTTGGGAAGCGGGACCCATTTGCTAGTTTCGCTGCGGACTTGCCTTGTGTTTGTGGGTTGCCAGGAAGAAATAAAATACCCTAAACTGTAGCAAGAGAACTGTAGGAGACGCATAGAATGTTGCAAATTGGTGAAGCCGTACAGACACGAGCATGACGAAAATTCGCCAATATCTAAGAGTCGTGCACCATATCCTTGCCGCTTAGTACTTTTCAGAATCGGGATTGTAAACGCAATTCAAACTACTGGAGAGCAGAGCAGCTCTAGCGAGAACGACCAGATCCTCGCTAGGGCGGTGCTTCCCCGCTAGAAGAGGTTGCTACTGGAAATTAGCATTATACGATACCTTGCTGGGAGAACTCACGTTTCTCAGAGACTTGATTGATCCTGCTGTCTCGGTAGCGGATAGAAAACCCACAGCGGCAGAATCGATTGGCCATCGCTCCAGATCAATCACGCCAACAACGCTTTGATCTTTGTCATTTTTCTGCATGAGCCGCATTGTGATCGAAGGAAGGGCCGCAATATATGCGGCTTCAGATTGCTTTGGTGTGCAATCTATACAAAGGTCCAAACTTGCTGCGAAGTGTTAGTCAGAAAATGCAAGGATGCGACCACTAACAAACCTATCTTGATGATTCCGTCAATGCCAAACAATATATCATTACAGGTTAGTGATTGGTGCGCAAGGCTAAACGTAAATAAATAACAGGCATCGTCGAGGATTTAAAGAGTCAGAACAGCTCATCGAAAGGGCATGAGGGACAAATCTGGCTTACGATAGATTCCAATTCCGTCTCGTTGGGATAAACGGATGGAAAAGCGACAACATGCGTGAGCGTCAGCGGCAAATCATCCACCAAGAAGAACGCGAGATCTTCGTACATGTAGCATTCGCGTAATAAAAGAACGTTCCTGTGTTCCAGACGTTCGAATCTGTATATTATTCTTCGAGCATTCTCTTTCGCATATGTCCGGATAGCTACTATGCGAGATGGGTGGGTGCGGCGTGTGGTAATAGTAACCTTGCCAGCGATTTCATATGTAATTACTTTCCGATAGGTATCCCACGGCGACTCCTGTCTTACAATCAAGACGGATGTAATGTTTTCTAGGCCACACAAGTGGGGTAGGCAAAGACTCTTGGGAGGCCCCGTGACAACCTTTATTTTGCTGCAGTAGTGAGGTCTAGTTGGTTTCGTGGTGGCCGCCGTATGACTCGCGCAGGTAGTGGGGGCCGACATCGAATTGGGGAGCTGAGATTGAGTATTGATAGTGTCAAGGTCACATATCATGTTGTCTTTGAACGGATTGGATGACATGATGACGGGAGTATGTTTCCCCCGATCCAATACTTACAAGAATCAAGACAGGAAGTGATATTCAAATTATTTATATGCGCGGTGTTGAGGTTTGGACTTTTATCAATGAGAGGAGATGATAGCTTTGACCGATTGCCAAAGGGAGAGGCTTATGAGCCACGGGGCTTACATACAAACAACTATCCGCATGTATAACCTTCGCGACTGTTATGTGCTGTTCAGCCCTCATGAAAATGAGTTTCGAGCTGATTGAGGATTTCCATAGGAATGGGCATATGACCGCATTGCTCAGTATAATGGCCCTCTAACTCAACTTCCTTAGGATCCTGCTACCCATAGGTGCGCTTTCCTGTGAGGGAAGGCTGTTCAGTGATAAATTCTAGGATTCAAATGACTGACAGCGTGAAAAATAATGAGACGGAAGCTGTCAAATAAGCCAGAGTCTGCGGCAACTTCTTTGTAATAATAGTCTCATTTACCTTGTTTGGTCCATGACATGTCTATGTCAACGAGCCCACATGATCAATAATAAGATGGTTATTATAGTAATTGGTAGGCTCGGGGAATGATAAAGTTGCCAATCATTTTTGCTGCCCAAAGGTAGGTCTACTTACATAGCCTATTAATGATAACTTGTAATTTATATGCGGCCAAGGTCTAACTAACACCGCAACGGCTACAGTATATTGGACAGAACCAGGGAGAGAATTCGATGGACTTGCTTATGGTCATGTACAGTAGATTTCGAAAACGGATTCCCCTGTGGACACTAACGCATTGTTTTTCGGTCTGTACTCGAAACCACGCTAATCCATATAAGGCTAACTCAAATTTTACTCCTGTTTAGCTGTATCGTAGTATATAACGTATTGAGATTATGTGTCAAATGAGTCATTGTTAATTACCGTAATCGTCC